TGCTAGTGGGCCCTTGTGCTGTGGGCCCTTGTCCTAGTGGGCCCTTGTCCTAATGGGCCCTTGTCCTAGTGGGCCTTTGTCCTAGTGGGCTGTCCTAGTGCCCTTGTCTAGTAGGCCCCTTGTCCTAGTGGGCCCTTGTCCTAGTGGGCTGTCCTAGTGGGCCCTTGTCCTAGTGGGCCCTTGTGCTAGTGGGCCTTTGTCCTAGTGGGCCCTTGTGCTAGTGGGCCCTTGTCTAGTGGCCCTTGTCCTAGTGGGCCTTGTCTAGGGCCTTGCTGCGTGGGCCCTTGTGCTAGTGGGCCCTTGTCCTAGTGGGCCCTTGTCCTAGTGGGCCCTTGTCCTAGTGGGCCTTGTGCTAGTGGGCCCTTGTCCTAGTGGGCCCTTGTCCTAGTGGGCCCTTGTCCTAGTGGGCCTTTGTGCTAGTGGGCCTTGTCTAGTGGGCCCCTTGTCCTAGTGGGCCCTTGTCCTATGGCCCTTATCCTAGTGGGCCCTGTCCTAGTGGGCCCTTGTCCTCTGCTGGCCTGTCAGTGGGCCCTTGTCCTAGTGGGCCCTTGTCTAGTGGGCCCTTGTCCTAGTGGGCCCTTGTCCTAGTGGGCCCTGTCCTAGTGGGCCCCTTGTCCTAGTGGGCCCTTGTGCTAGTGGGCCTTGTCCTAGTGGGCCCTTGTCCTGTGGGCCTTGTCCTAGTGGGCCCTTGTCCTAGTGGGCCCTGTCCTAGTGGGCCCCTTGTCCTAGTGGGCCCTTGTCCTAGTGGGCCCTTGTCCTAGTGGGCCCTTGTGCGCTAGTGGGCCCTTGTCCTAGTGGGCCCTTGTCCTAGTGGGCCCTTGTGCTAGTGGGCCCTTGTCCTAGTGGGCCCTTGTCTAGTGGGCCCTTATCCTGGGCTGTCCAGTGGGCCCTTGTCCTAGTGGGCCCCTTGTCCTAGTGGGCCCTTGTCCTAGTGGGCCCTTGTGCTAGTGGGCCTGCCTGTCCTAGTGGGCCCTTGTCTAGTGGGCCCTTGTGCTAGTGGGCCCTTGTCCTAGTGGGCCTGTCCAGTGGGCCTTATCCTATGGCCTGTGCTAGTGGGCCCTTGTCCTAGTGGGCCCCTGTCCTAGTGGGCCTTGTCCTAGTGGGGTCTATGGCCCTTGTCCTAGTGGGCCCTTGTCCTAGTGGGCCCTTGTCCTAGTGGGCCCTGTCCTAGTGGGCCCTTATCTAGTGGGCCCTTGTGCTAGTGGGCCTTTGTCCTAGTGGGCCCTTGTCCTAGTGGGCCTTGTCCTAGTGGGCCTCGTGGGCCCTTGTCCTAGTGGGCCCTTGTCCTAGTGGGCCCTTGTCTAGTGGGCCCTTGTCCTGGTGGGCCCTTGTCCTAGTGGGCCTTATCCTAGTGGGCCCTTGTCTAGTGGGCCCTTGTCCTAGTGGGCCCTTGTCCTAGTGGGCCTTGTCCTAGTGGCCCTTGTCCTAGTAGGCCCCTTGTCCTAGTGGGCCCACTGTCTCGTGGGCCCTTGTCCTAGTGGGCCCTTGTCCTAGTGGGCCTTATCCTAGTGGGCCCTTGTCCCTAGTGGGCCCTTGTCCTAGTGGGCCCTTGTCCTAGTGGGCTGTCTAGTGGGCCCTTGTCCTGTGGGCCTTGTCCTAGTGGGCCCTTGTCCAGTGGGCCCTTGTCCTAGTGGGCCTTATCCTAGTGGGCCTTGTCCTAGTGGGCCCTTGTCCTAGTGGGCCTTGTCTAGTGGCCCCTTTCGGCCCCTGTCCTAGTGGGCCCTTGTCTAGTGGGCCCTTGTCCTAGTGGGCCCTTGTCTATAGGCCCTTGTCCTAGTGGGCCTTATCCTAGTGGGCCTTGTCCTAGTGGGCCCTTGTGCTAGTGGGCCCCTTGTGCTAGTGGGCCCTTGTGCTAGTGGCCCTTGTCTACATAGGCCCTTTCCTATGGGCCCTATCCTAGTGGGCCTTGTCCTGGGCCTCTAGTGCCTCTATGGGCCTGCTAGTGGGCCCTTTCTATGCCCTTGTCCTAGTGGGCCCTTGTTCTAGTAGGCCCCTATCCAAGTTTGGCCTTGTTTAATGTTCACTTGTGTAAATACTTAACTACACTGTGGGAAGTAATTAGACTCAGAAAGTTTATTGAAAATTATCAATACAGAATTGAGGTATAAAGTACAGGTACAGTAATGGCCATCATGCCCTCCACTGTACATGAACACAGAGGAACCAAAATAATGTTGTCCAGGTGAATCTATTTGGAGGGCTTGTTTACGTGTGTGTGTGTGTGTGTGTGTGTGTGTGTGTGTGTGTTTTTTTTGGTGAAATGAACTGAATTTTAGTAGTTATTATTATTTTATTATTAGCTAAATTATTATTATTATTATTATTATTATTATTATTATTATTATTATTATTATTGTTATTGTTATTATTATTATTATTAATATAGAGAAACTTAAGAGGGTCACCAGGACTTATTAAGGCTTAGCTTGACATTTGACCTTCAAGTCCTCACACCGGTTCCAAGACATCATCATGAATAACAACATCCTCAACAACAACAACAACAACAACACAGCTTCAACAATACTAACAACAACAAAAACATCAACAAATATATAATAACAACAACAACAACACGGCTAGAACCCCGAAGAAAGACAACCATTTTCTGGATGATGTGTGTGGATGTTGTGTGTGGATGATGGGTATGGATGATGTGTGTGGATGTTGTGTGTGGATGATGGGTATGAATATTGTGTATGGATGATGTGTGTGAATGTTATGTGTGGATGCTGTGTGTGGATGTTGTGTATGGATGATGTTTGTGGATGTTGTGTGTGGATGATGATTATACTGGATGATACTTTTTCTGGATGATGTGAAGTAGCCTGAGGTCGGGTAGGTGGTGGAGGGTGAGAAATTGGTCGGGTAGAAAGTAGATGGGGCGGAAAGGACAGTTGGCGTCGTAAGAAGAGGTGGAAAGGTGGGGTGGTAAGATGTGGTGGGTAAGGTGGGGTGGTAGGTGGGGTGGTAAGGTGGGGTGGTAAGGTGGGTTGTAGGTAGAGGTGGTAAGGTGGGGTGGTAGGTGGGGTGTAGAGTGGGGTGGTAAGTGGGTGGTAAGGTGAGTGGTGGGTGGTAGGGTGGTAGAGGTAACGTGGGGTGGAAAGGTGGGGGTGTGCGTGGGGGTAAGGTGGGGTGGAAAGGTGGGGTGGTAAGGTGGGGTGGAAGATGGGGTGGTAGTGGGATGGTATAAGGTGTGGTAGGTGAGGTGGTAGGGTGGGGTGGTAAAAGGTGGGTGGTAGGTGGGTTAGTGGGTGGTGGTAGAGTAAGTGGTAAGGTGGTATGGTAGGGTGGGTTGGTAAAGGTGGATAAGTGGGGAGGTGGGAGAAGGTGGGTGGTAGTGGTGGTAAGGTGGGGTAAGGTAGGGTGGTAGGAGGTGGAAAGGTGGGGTGTAGTGGGTGGGGTGGTAAGTGGTTAGTAAGGTGGGTGGTAAGGTAGGGATGGAAAGGTGGGTGGGTAAGTAGGTGGTAAGGTGGGGTGGTAAGGTGGGGTGGTAAGGTGGGGTGGAAAGGTAGTTGGAAAGGTGGGTGTAGGTGGGGTGGAAAGGTGGATGGTAAGGTGGGGTGGTAAGGTGGGTGGTGAGTTAGTGGGTGAGGTGGTAGGGAATTGGTAAAGGTGGGGTGGTAAGGTGGGTTAGTGGTGGTGGTAAGGTGGGGTGGTAATGGGGTGATGAGTAGTGGAAGGTGGGTGATTGGGTGGTAAGGTGGGAATAGTGGGTGGGGGTGGAAAGATTGGGGTGGAAAGGTGGGTAGGAATGTAAGGTAGAATTGGTAAGGTGGGGTAAGATGGTGTAGAGGTAGAGTGGAAAGGTGGTAGGTGAGGTGGGTGGTAAGATGGGGTGGTAAGGTAGGGATGGAAGGGTGGAGTGGTAAGATTGGGGTGGAAAGATTGGAATTGTTAAGATTGAGTTGGAAAGGTGGGGTGGTAAGTTGGTGGTAAAGGTGGGGAGTTGGGTAAGATAGGGTGGTAAGGTGGAGGTGATGAAGGTAAGGTGGAGGTAGAATGGTAGTAGAGTGAGAGGTGGAAAGTGGGGTGGTAAAAGGGTGAATTGGGGTGAAAGTGCGGGTGGAAAGGTGGGGTGTGAAGGTGGGGTGGAAGGTGGGTGGTAAGGGTGGGTGGAAAGGGAGGGTGGAAAGGTGGGGTGGAAAGGTGGGGTGGTAAGGTGGGGTTGGGTGGGGAATTGGAAGGTAGATGGAAAGGTGGGGTGGAAGGTGGGAAGGTGGGGTGGAAGGTTGGAGTGGTAAGGTAGGGTTGGAAGATTGGAATTGGTAAGGTGGGGTGGTAAGGTGGGGTGAAGGTAGGGTGGAATTGGGGTGGAAAGGTGGGGTGGTAAGGTGGGTGGAAAGGTGGTGGAAAGGTGGGTGGAAAAAGTAAGGTGGGGTGGTGAATTGGGGTGGAAAGGTGGGGTGTAAGGTAGGGTGGAAAGGTGGGGTGGTAGGTGGGGTGTGGGGTGGAAGGTGGAAAGGTGGGGTGTGGGGTGGGTGGAAGGTGGGTGGAAGATTGGGGTGTTAGGTGGGTGGAAGGTGGGGTGGGGTGGTGAGATTGGGGATGGAAAGGTGGGGTGGTAAGGTGGCGACCTTCACCACCTGTCCACCTTCACCACCTGGCCTCCTTCACCACCTGGCCACCTTCACCACCTGGCCACCTTCACCACCTGGCCACCTTCACCACCTGGCCACCTTCATCACTTGGCCACCTTCACCACCTGGCCACCTTCACCACCTGGCCACCTTCACCACCTGGCCACCTTCACCACCTGGCCACCTTCATCACTTGGCCACCTTCACCACCTGGCCACCTTCATCACTTGGCCACCCTTAGTGTTCAGATTCTATTGTAAGTCGAATTTAAGAGGAAAAATAAAATATGATTTCATTTTTTCTGTTGATATTAGGTTAGGTTAGGTTAGGTTAGGTTAGGTTAGGTTAGGTTAGGTAAAAGAAACACTAATAAAGTCAGTGTGTTGGACCTTCATAATGTTGTATTGTGTTTGGTCACAGATGGAGGACAACCAGCCCAAGGCCCTCGTGGTGGCCGGTGGAGGCGCTGGTCTCGCTTGGATCAAGTCGGAGATCTCTGACCAGCAGGACGGACGGGCCATCAACTCCTCCCTCCCCGAGAGTCACGGACACGCCTTCCACAACGGCAGTAATTATGGCGCAGGTACGTGTACTTGAAGGCTTACACACACACACACACACATACACACTCTCACACACACACACACACACACACACACACACTCCTCACACACATCACACACACACACACACACACACACACACACATACAAACACACACACACACACACACACTCACTCACACACGGACCCTCTTGTGGTACGGCCGAGTTTGTGTGTCCACCACCACCATCATCATCATCATGAGTTCATTAAAGCATTAGGACGGGTCATCAGGAAGGTCGACAGTTTATATGAGATTTAATTGACCTTAATTGTTGTGTTAATTGTACAGGTGAGTGAGGGACCCCAACGCTCACCTGATGATGATGCTGGGGGTGACACACACACACACACACACACACACACACACACACACACACACACACTAATCACTGCCAGGCAAAAAGTTGAATGTAACTAGTGATGGAAACGGAGGAGGTGCGTGCGTGTGTGTGTGTGTGTGTGTGTGTGTGTGTGTGTGTGTGTGTGTGTGTGTGTGTGTGTGTGTCAAAACATATTTAATTGGCTTTCTTAAACCAGCGACAAAATTTCCTAAAATACTTTATGTTCGTAACCTTAAAATGCTTCAGAAGTGTGACCTATAATAACGCCTTTATCTGTCCCTGTACATTCATGGCGTATTTTGATTGGCTGTATACATTAACATTTCTCTAAAGGTTGTCGAGTCAGTATGATACCCAACTGATTCAATGATATCAACCAAAACTTCAATAACAAACTTCACCCAAGAATAACAATTACAGATGGCGTCATTCTTGAAACCCAATTTAGAAAAAAATAATTGGATCACCTGAAGTAAAGCAGGTTAGGTTAGGTTAGGTGAGGCGAGGCGAGGCGAGGCGAGGCGAGGCTAGGTTAGGTTAGGTTAGGCTAGGTTAGGTAAGGTTAGGTTAGATTAGATTAGGTTAGGTTAGGTTAGCATTTCGGTGTTTAATCTTCAGGTTATTCCCAAAAGATACGTACATACGGCGGATTCTCTATTTAACGGAATATATGCGAGAGTTAGTCCGTTAGATCGAAGTTCGTTATATAAATAAACCTCCTTCTACCGGACTATGAGAGAAGGCAGTCCGTTAACTATGACACTTCCTTCTAACGGACTATATTAGAGGGCAGTCCGTTATATTTAAAATCACCTAACGGACTGCATTATAAGAAGTTTGTCCGTTAATTCGAAGTCCGTTATATGATGCATATCTACATAAACAACCTGTAGTGTAATGGTTAGCATGCTCGCCACGCAACCGAGCAGACCCGGGTTCGATCCCCGGGCAGGGTGAGACTATCGGCAAGTTTCTTTACGCCATTTGCCTCTGTCTACCCAGCAGTAATGGCGGACCTGGATGTTTATCGATTTGCGGATCGTGTTCCGGGGTAATGGTTAGCCAGTGCAGTTGGCGAGTTGTCCGGTCTTCTCGAACTATTCCTTGACACTGGGTCATTCAGCTCGTTAACTTAGGGTGTGGTTGTTGTGTTGGCGACAGCTTCTACACCTTAAACAAATTCACGCCTAGGTGGCCCTTGGGCCGGCCATCCTCGAGGGGCAACCATTACCATTTATATAAACAACCAGGTCATAACACCAAGAACAGAAGCCGCCAGCACCTACAGTACACCTCACACCATCAACATATGTCCCTTCTCACGCCTCTTGGTAGTGGCCACATTGAG